AGGCTGCTCAGCCGAATCGCCTTCATCGATGAACTCGGCCTCAAACTCTTCAAGAGGGTCGTGGCTTCATTCAGCAGGTCCTTCATCTCACCGGAAGTTCCTGCACCCTTGTCGCCTTCACTGGACAGGTTTTGCTCCATCGGCTCGCTCCCCCCAGTCTTCGGTCCAGGCTCAACCACGTCGTTCTTGGCCTGGGCGACGATGTTCTTCTCCTTGATGGACTTTACCGCCTGTTTCTCCGGGGAGTCGCGGACCTTCTGCTTCGTCACTGGGCACTCCTTCTTCGAGTGACCGGTGCCCGAGCATCCAAAGCACCTGCCCTTCTTTTCAATGCCCGTCCAATCGTGCTTGAACTTGCAGTCCTGGCCCTTTCGACATCCGTCCTCAGAGCCCCAAAACCTGCACAGCTTCTCCTCCCGGGCACCATCAGACTTCGGCTTTCCGGCCGACTTCTCGGCCTTGTCCTCCGTGGCCGTGATCATGGCCTTGACCTTGGTCGCCGGCTGAATTGGCTTCACCTCTCCGGTGGGCGGCACCTCACTTATGACCAGCGACTCCGCCTCAGCCGTGATCATGTCTGCGAAGTTCAGGACTGATTCCAAGGTCGGCGTGACATCTACTAGTACTACTCCCAAGGCCACCCTCGTCGAAGAGACTCTGAAGGCCGCTTGGCCCGATGCCTTCACGATCTGTTCCGACATCTTGTCCAAGGCCCCGAGGAGCAGGGTTGAGTCAGGTGTTGCAATCTCCAACTCTTGGGCTCGCCTCAAGCTGCGACGCCATCCCCTCAACTGCTCCACCGTCTCTGCCAGGCTCTGTGGATTCTTTGGTTCCACCAGCTGCCTCAGGAGTCGTGACCGTTCAGCAAGTCCTCCTGGTTGATACCTCCTGAAGAGGGCATACAAGATGTCCACGGAGCTCGATGCCCTGTTCGCCAGAATTTCGGACCTGATGAAGGTTGGGACCGAGTTAAGAAGCATCAGCTGCCCTCGTTGTTCCAGTCGGTTCCACACCGTGGCGCATTCTCTCGGCACCTGGGTCTTGATGTGAAGCCTCTGGACTGGTTCTGCACGGAGCCATTCTCGGTAGGCTGCCATCGCCAACTGCACAACCTCCTCCCACCACCTCCATGAAGTCGCACTCAGATCTCTCATTGTCGGAGAGATCAACTGGATCCAATCTCCCAGCACTAACGACCCCAATTCTCCGTCTCGAAGTTCCGGAAGGACCGGCAGCTCGACCGATCGAATGGTCTCTCCCCAGTTTCCTTCAGGTCCTCCAGTTCCCAGCTGCCGGAGCACGGATTGGGCAGCCTGCTCCAAAGGTGACCCTTTCGCAAGATCCCCATCCCTCACCGCACAATCTGGTAGACCTCCTCGTCCAGGGTCAAAACCGGCTAGACGGTCCGGGAGTGGTGTTTCTGGTGCGCCTCGTCCATGGTGACCCACACCCACTCGCTCTTGAACTCCAGCCTGAAGCCCTCCACGCCAAGATTCTGGTACGGGTGGAGCTCCTCGTCCATCGTGATGACAATCTCCCCAACGTCGAAGGTCAACAGGATCTGGAGCTTCACCCCCATACTTCTCATTCAAGCCCGGGAACTCCGGGACCGCTGCAAGTCGGGATGTCCCTGTTCCCACCATCCTCTCGGGTGTCCCAGGGGGCGGGCCTTTTGGTGGACTCGGTGGTGGTGTAGTCGACGGCGGTTTTGGAATCTCCGTCTTGACCTCCCGGTCCACCTTCTCCTTTGCGGAGTCATCGATCTTCTTCTTGAGGTCCGCCAGTTCCCGCTTGAGCATCGAATTCTGGTTCATGACCGCCTTAAGCACCTCCTTCAGATCCACGGTAGGTTCCTCAGCCCCCGCGGCTCCCGCTCCTGACCCGGTACTCGTCGGCGGCAATGAAGTAGGCCTCATAGCACGGAGCATCACCTCGTCCTTCAAGGTCTGACTCCAGAAGGGGTTGATGTCCAGTGCTTGCCCTCCACCACTTCCTTGGCCCTTTCCATCTCGCCTTCTGTCTTCTCGTCGTTGAGGACCGTACGTGGTTGGAGGTCCCAAAGCCACTACCAAGGCCCCTGGATCAACCTCCACGGGCTCCGGTCGAGCATCCTCCAAGGCCAGCGGTCCATCCTCCTTCGCCGACTCCATGGATCCGCTTCCATCCGGCGTCGACGAGCTCATGGCGGCCAGCAACCCGGTGACCCGCGCGGTCACTCGAGGTGGTCTTCGAACCCTCCCTAGAGAGTTGGGCTCATAACCTACGCGATCGAACTGGCCGATCTTTTCCTCGGCACAAAAGGGGCTTCGGTTTGAAGAACAAACCTGTACGATCATAGCCAAAAGGTCGTGAGTTCTGACCCGGCTTTCGGAACTTGGTACACTTCTCATTCCAAGTGCATTCCACCACACCTTCAAACTAAGTACACTTCTCGATTTGGAAGTCATGAAAAAACTCACAGCACAATCAACCCATTCTCGAACTACATCGAAATTGTTGGAATTCTGATGTCGTCTATGCGCCTGAGGAAAAATCTTCCAACCGCCATTGATTCAACAACCTGAAGCCTGAACAAAGATTCTTCGACAAACATTGCTTTTACCACAAACCCAGGGTCAACCGCCGAACTCTTTTCATGGTCCAAAGCCAGAATTCGGCAGTTTGGGGGAGCACAGCCACTGCCATGCGCCGGGTCGTTGCACCGGCCTTGCCAAGTTCGCTCAGGTGCGGGCGGATGAGGTGTCAGGGGCCTCACCGGGCGGCCGTGATGTGATGATTGGCCGCCAAATCGTCGACCCAAACAGAGACCCAACATGACATAACCAAGTTCAATGAAGGATAATATAGTCAGGATGACATAAGGAGTGCCACATGTCCAAGTTGACTGAAGGATAGTTTGAGTTAGGATTCTGCAGTTGCAGTCCAAAACCACCGAACTTGAAAGGTCATCATGGTAGTTGAAATAGTTGAATCTTCCCCCTGGGAGCCCAGTCGACTATATCGTCTGACCGAGTTCGGTGGTTTGGGATGTCGGACGGAACTTCCTGCAACCTTCAGTCGGTCCAAGTACCAGTTGAACTGGACTTCCAGGGTTCCTGGAAGATCCTTTCCACTCCCTTGGCCGCTCCTTTGTCCTTCCCAAGACGGGAACCCATCGTGCTTCTCCAATTCAAAGGTGCCGAGGCTGACTTGCATTTTCGGCGGCCAGGGGGAAAGAACTCCGAAACACCTTCAACACCTGGATTTTGCGAAGTCGATCTTGAACTCGCCAACCTGATTGATGACACCCAGCTGATGATCCCGCCGCCCTTGCTCCTCAGTCCCGGATTCCTACGCTATGGCCTGCAAGTCTCGTTCGGCTGCCCCAGACAGACCCATCGGCTTTCGGCCACCGAACTGGGGATCACCCGTCCTCCGTGCGCGACCCGCGCGACCCGTCCTCCGCACTGACCCGGTCGGACACTCCGAAACTGGGGTCGAAAGGGGGGGTCGAAGCAAGTCTCTCTCGAGCTGAACGGAGGCCCCGGTCGGACCGTGAACGGAGCGTTTGGCGTTTGTTTTTTTTTTTCGTGTGAGTGTTTCGGAGTGCTCCCGTGAGTGGAAGCAGGGTGAAGCTGAAGTCGAAACGTCCTGAGAGCCTGAGAGAAGGTCTGGGCTCCAGTTCCGGTGACATGCAGAGGTTGAAGAACCCTATCCCATTCGGGCTCCAGTCGTATCTTCTGAGTTTCGGTGGGACTGGGGTGGGTGCCAGCAGGCTCCAAACACCTGAGGAGGTACTTGGAGCCCTAGGGTCTAGGATATCCTATACCAGGACCTTCTCATCTTCAGGATTGGTAGACGTGACCTTTTCTTTCGGCCTTACTTCGTGACCTCATTCCGCCACTGGGATCTCGTTCGGACGGTCACGAATGGAAGGTCCTGGTAGGTACCCCTGTAGGGTCCTAGTTCAGGTCACTTAATACCTCTGTTGGGAAGCCCCAAACAAAAGACGAGCGTTTCCTTCGAAGCGAGGCAGGCCACCGTGCTCCGTGTTCCAGCGCGTCCCGTGAAGCACGTCCCGTGGACACGTGGCTCGGGCGTCTGGAGGTCCACCGGTGAGGTGCATCCAGGGGATGAAAGAACGATAATACTCCAGGGCCTTAGGGCTTTGAACGTCCCATCTCCTCAGGTTCGGTGGGCACAGGACCCCCCCTGGCACCTGGGCCCCCAGTCCCACCGAACGGAAACGGAGGCGGGGGCCAGGAGGTTTAGGGATAGATAGGGATAGTTGGCCTACGGTGAGGCTAGCGCAAGAGGAAGAGGAGGACCGCAGTGAGAAGCGCAAAACCCACAAGCCGAGGCCAGGGCTGTCCGTGCAGGAGGAGTCCAGCGCTGTTCCGCCGTTCCGTGGCACGAGACCACAGGAAGACAAAGGGGTCAGGCAGATGCCACTCATGTTGATCATCAAAACCTCTCTGCCAGGATGGTATAAACCCTAGATGGATCGACATGCCCTTTGAGAAGATGATTGGAGACACTTGATGTAGGCTTTGAGGTTCCAATTGATCAACGGGCCATGTTATAACTCTGCGGCAACTTAAGGCTATCATGCCTTTTTGGCACGATGCATTGGATGTAACAGGATGATGTGTAGGACTTGTTTACGAGGCTACACTGTGGGTCATGGCCATTGATGTTTGCATGCCGAGTGGTGTGGATGCGACTGTTCACCCATGTGCTTTAGCAGCTTTGGTGTGACTGTTGACACTATACATGTCACTTCATGCCTGTCCCCTTGGCCCCCCCCAAAACCGTGACCAACATAGATCTAGACTGGTTTCTGGGGACATTGGGGGACAAAAAAATACGAGAAAATGGGACATGACCCCATAAAAAACAGGTACTTGTACCCATTTTCTGAAGTACTTTGAGACTCCAGGTCCCGTCTTGTCTGGAACGATGACGTCGAAAATGGCTGGCCCCACTTGCCCAAGGGTTGGCCATGCGTCGTGGCGTCGCGGTTCGATCCGAGGGGCTCAGTGGGAGCGAGGTGGCAGGCTGAACTGGTTGCAGTCTGTCACTCCAGCACCTTCATGTCGGGGTCACCGAAGATGCTTCCCTACACCACGTACAGGGACCTCCTTGGACACCGTCCAGGCACAAAGATTGCAACGTGCGCACGATAGACCCTTAGCTGTTCAAAAGACCCTTGCTGCTCGAAAGTTTGATCAACTTGATCATGAATCGTCATCAGCAACAAAGGTCCTCAGCAACAGGATTCCATCATCTTCCATCCAGACGTCATTCTCAGACACTGATAGGAATCCCTATGGATAGACCCCCCTATGGATAGGGCTCCTGGCCTACCTCCTGAGGTTCCATGGTGATGGTGGGTGCCAGGGGGGTCGGAGCCCACCTTCACCTGAGGAGATGGGACGTTCAGAGCTCTAGGGCCCTGATTTCTGCACGATGGGCCCCAAAAGGCCTGGAAGCCGGACGCCCAATGGCACGGCCCTCGCGCAGGACGAAGCCTCCGACGATGTCCGGCTCGGGGGTCCTGGATGAGAGCGACGTCTTTCCGTGCTTGAAAGATCCCCCATGATCCCTAGGGCTCCAACTAGCTCCTGAGAAGGTGGTTGGGGTGGGTGCCAGGGGGGTCTAACCACCTTCTGAGGATATGGTTGGAGCCCTAGGGGATATTCGGACTAGAAAATTGGAGGGGTTGACCCCAGGAAATCACTATCAGAATGACTAGTAAGACTGACCCCCCTCCATGTGATTTTGCATGGGGAATATTTGAAGAGTGTTCCTGGATTTGCTTATAATGCTATAAGGTGAATCGGGTGTTACGTTCTCGAACCGGGGATTGACCGCCAGGGGCGATGTGATGCGATATGTGTTTGAAGCATTTGGGACACTTCTTTCGACCCTCATCTTCGCGAAGATGGGTGACTCCAATGGTCCACGGGACGCTGAAGAACGACCAGCAAAAGCCATCAAATCAACTGGACTCCAAGTTGTTGGGACTCCGAGGTTCCGAACCTCCTGACGGTCCGTGACATCTCCCCATGGTGGTGTCGTCACCCGAAGGGGGCGCCCGAGCCGACGATGTCACCCGTTTGGGGCTCCGTTCGGCCACCCCGTCCGTTTCGGAGAAGGTGGGCCAGGGGTGGGTGGTCTTGGGGCGGTCGGAGCCCACCTTCACCTAATAAATAGTTCCGTAGAGTTGCGGGACCAAAATCCAGCACCACCCAGGACCGTGACTGTTCGTGACTGTCCGGAGTCAGAAGCAAGGCCGAAAGAAAAGGTCGCTTACCTACCCACTGAAGAGGTCACGGTCCTGGCCGGTCCTGGCCCCCCCCAGCGTTTGTAAATGTGACTCCTGGAGGCTCCACACAACATCAAGTCTTCCCTAGGGCTCCTGGCCCATCTCTTCAGGTTCGGTGGTTAGACCCCAAAAATTTCCACCCTAACCACCGAACCTCAGGAGGTAGTTAGGTAGTTGGAGCCCTATTATCACACCCATGACGCGACCGGTTTGGGACTGCCAGGATGGACTGCAGAAACGGCCAGGGGTTTGGGGAACCCAATGGGTCGGCAGTCCTATGGCAGTCCCATGGAGCGTCTGGGACATAGGATCACGGCTTTTTTGCATGACACCAAGATGAACATGAGATGACTCTTAAGGCCCTCGGACTCTCTATAGGGTAGTCCAGCCAAGCGACCCAGACAGGAGGAGGGTCTATTAAATTAACATATATACACATAACACCCCTTATAGGGCTCCAAGTGCCTTCGTTTCGGAGTAGGTGCCAGGAGGCTCCAGCCATACCTTCGTTTTGCACCTACAATTGGAGCCGTCCCAAGAGTCACGGGTGGTTCCGGTGCCGGTTCCGAGTTCGGAGGAAGTCGTGAGAACATCGATGGGACGAGCCAAAGACCACCCAACCTCCATGTGCCTGGCCTATATGCTATATAGGCCTAGCACCCATTCAACTGTCTTGTCAGGACAAATATTGAAAAAACAAGAAACCGATTTTTGGGTGGTGGGTCCCCAATCGAGGTCACTCAGCGTTCTAATGTAGACTCTTGATTACTAACTCCCCCCATTTGAATGCACGGACTTGCGGACAAGCTCCCACACCATCCCTTGCCCACTGGTGGGGCGGGTATAGGTGGTGAATGTAGTCTGAGGTGAGACAAGATCTAGAGGTACTATGTACACTACGAACGAAAGGCATGCGAAACTACGAAGGCAACAAAGTGCGGCAACCCACATGCAGGATCCTGCTCCAATGCCCAGGGAGCGGCTTAGACAGCCTTGTTTCTTCCTTTGAGGAACGACATCGTGATGCAGCTAATTGAAACATGAACATCCTCTTCATATGGGGGTGTATTCATTCCTGAGAAGGTGGTTGGGGTGGGTGCCAGGGGGGTCTAACCACCGAACCTGAGGATATGGGCCAGGAGCCCTAGGGAATAGCAAAGCGTGGGTCTCCTCATCCACGTTCTCGCCGCTTTCTCCGAGGCTGTGGGATTTCCGGATCGAGGCAGAGATGCGCGTTCGGGAGGGGGGCGCGGTGGGGGCCAGGCGGATTGGGTGAAGAGGACGAGGTTGGGTGTGAAGGCGATGTTCAAGCAAGTAGGGCTGTACAGGTCGAAGGCGGTCGTGAGTCGAATTGGCATGAATTGGCAGCGAAAACGGCAGCACCCTGTTGTTTGTTTCCAGATATTTGGATTATAGACTCATTCTGGAATGATGTTTGTGAGACCCTTGTGATGTGTGGGACATTGGATGCAGGATGATGCAGGCGTCCCCGCATCCGTAACCGTAACGGTGTGGTCAGTGACGGTTAGACATCGAAAGTGTATGGGGCTCCGTCCCTGAGGGGCCAGGGGCCGGCGATCACATCGTCTCGAAAGCCTGACAAAACAAACAGGTTCACCCTGAGGCTCATTTAGCCTCCAAATAGGGTGTCCTCCAAATAGCAAGTGGGTGTCCAAATGTCTAACCCGAGGTGGCGCTGGATGCTCAGCTGTTGGAAGCCCAAGAGCTGCAACTCACATGTGTCGCTCCAGGCGCGACGACGTCGCGCGCGGCGCCGCGGCCCACGCGGGCACGCCCGTGCCAACCGTTTTCCTGCGAGCGGGCCGAGCGAAGGATGGCGAAGGACCTGGAAGGGGGGGGGCGGATTGGAGAAAGGGAACGCCCCAAACCCCCAGACACTCCGTGGGATCCCAAGACCTTCGAATCCTAAGGACCTTGGACATGATTTGGACTCCGGACCCTGGTTTTTGGGGGTCTTGACATGATTTCCGTGTCTCCAATGGCCTTCCAAAGGTAGGGCCTACAGAGATGTGGATTGACGTGGATCCATTTTTGGCCAGAGATGTGCCTACATTGGAGTGGAGTGGGGTGTGTGCAGGTCCTGTCCTGCCCAGAATCTCAGGAACCGTTTGCCCTAAAGCTGGCTGCACGAGCAGCTTTAGCCATTCCCGAACAGCACCACCCAAATACAAATGTAAGGCATATGAACCCACGTTGACACAAATTGACACTAAAAAATACAAACATTTCATCAAACCACCCAAATGTAGGTATATCCCAGAGTCTCACACCTACCCAGTTCTTTTTTTGGGGGGGTTTGGGTCAACCACCATTTTCCAGGGAAACTGAGTGGGGTCAAATGCCGACGTTCATTCCCCGTGTTCCTTGACTGAAGGTGACCTGACTCCGCTTTCTGGCGGTTGGACTCGTCCCACCCGGTCCGCTGTGGACAGGGGCACGACCAGCTCCGAGCACCCTGCTCTCCATGTGAGCAACCACTTTGATTTAGGCTTTACTAAGGAGGTCTACGGCATGCTCTATGATTTGCTTGTCTATCATCAGTATTCGCTTGTTAACGAGATAGGGCCCCCACATAAAGGACATACTTTTTGCTTAAAGTAGTCTGAACGAGATAGCGTGATTTGCTACCAAAGTAGTCTGAGCGAGATACTGTGACATGACCTCCAACTTATTAAGTAGTAGGGTCCCCACATATGTAGTTTGGGTTTGTCCTATTACCTGTAACAGTCAGTAAACAATTATCACTAGTTCTTTAAATATTTTTAACAAGGCCTTTACTAACCATCATCATCCACTGTTGAGGTATTAGGGTAGACCCAATATATAATAGTGTGAGTTTAGTACAAAATGAATGTCGCCGGACATGTTACTGCTGGAAATGAATGGTTCGACTGCATAGGGGACTTGAAAGGGTAAAGCAATCCTGGAGTTGACCTCACAAAATGGGGGCCTCGGTCGTACGTGCTCTTAGTTTGGGTCATGTCCCATGTTCTAGGGTACTTGAAGTCGGGTCCAAGTCGTCTTGGGACGTCTCGGGTGCAGCTTTCACATCAACTTTACCACACCCAGTGCATCCCAGTTACCACTAGTAGTAAGGAACCAGGGATTCGTTCGGTCTATGGTGTTAGTCTTTGGAACCACTGGTTACCAGGTATGGTGGTAACTGGATGCCCTGGGACACATTATAGTAATACCAATCACCCAGGTCCCCATCAAGATGTCACTCAACATGAGAATTTAGTTGGTTCAGCCACCCTGATAGAGGGTATCTTGTAGACTCAAAAATCCCCCTGCCAGTTAACTTCAAAAACCTCTTCAATTTGGAGGCATTCATGAGTCCAACACGATGCCACCAGGAAGACCATCGCCCTTCGAAAAGCGCACGTGCCATGTCCAGGAGCGTGGTCGAGACACCCCCTTTGATATCTATGAAGTCCTGATCAAGACCCTTTGATAGATGTTATACCTGGTCAAATGCCCCCACCTCTATGCCTCCATTTGATATGAACTCATCAAGACTCCCCCCACCTGTTCCATGTCGCTGCTTTTCGCTCCTGCGGTGGGTCAGGCTGTGAGGTGCTACGCTGGAAGGGAGGCTGGTGGGTCAAACCGCGGTCGTCGACGTGCTTCGGATTACGGCGGATGTTGGGATCATGTTGGCATGTTGGATCGTGGTTGAATTCATTGATGTAGTTATATCATTTAATATGACTTGGACGCATTCTGAAACTAACTGGAACTGCATCCCATATGTGTTGTAATTATTGATTCGACTTGCGCTGAAGAGTGGAGATGTTGTATACTGCTCGTGTTTCTGATCTACTCGCAGCACCTGTGTGCAACGGCTTGGTGGCAATTTGAGCAGCCCGAAGGAGTAAGTCCCCATGCAAAGAGTGCACGGAAATGACGGCAGTGTATGTGAAAACTGCAATTGCGAACTTTACATCATGTTTATTATCAATGATGTGCCCCTGTTGTGGGGCACTAGCCATCCAAAATAGGCCGGCTTCCACTCTCAAGACAAAGGTCAGATAGGTTGCGTAGGTTCCACGGGCAGAGTTGGCCAACCGGCTAGATGGGGGACTTACTAACCATTTCTCACCAGGTTCACCAGCATTCACTGCTTTCATTGGGTCTCGTTGGATGTCATACCCTGGTTGCCTCGTTTCGGGACACCCTCCACCGCTGGTTTGGCCTTGTATTCGTTGGTTGATTAATAGATATTAATAGAGGAGATACATCTACCAAATCGTCCCCTCTATTCTTCACGAAGAAGATGTTCATTGCCATTGCCCTCAACTTGGTCGATACGGCTTGATGGCTTTCCATGGCTTACCCAGTCAGCAGCTCTATCGCGTGCAGTCATTTTGTTCAGGCGCTATGGGTCCTCTCCGCCTTGGCCCAGAGTATTTGGCTCCCTCAGCACAACGCTGTAGCACATCATGGTACATCAATACCGTTTTGCAGCTCCACCTCCACTCTATTCAGTGGCATGGCAAATTCCAAAAAGGGCTGGACACTTAGCATGCTATTAGCATGACACCTAGCAAAAACCAATCACCAGTGCCCCCTGACTAAGACCACGGTCCGCATGTCCTAGCCAACAGCACACAGCTCGGGCGTCCTCCGAGCCGCCCATATGCGCCGTGCGAAGCTGTGCGTCCTCGCCGCGTGACCACCCGAGGCGGGTGTTTTTGGCGTCACCGGCGGAGGACAATCCCCATCGAGTCCGGTTCTGCTGAATCAGGCGATTCGGCAGCGCCCCAAGCCTGAAGAGGGTTTCAAATGTTGGGGTGATTGACATGAATCAAGAGTCTACAACCAGCAGAGGTTGAAGAACCCTATAGACTATCCTATAGGTACTTCTGTAGGGTCCTATAAGGTCACTTGACCTCTGTTGGAAGTATGGCATGCCGACCTTTGAGCACCCCAAATGATCCCCAAAGCACCCCTACGATCCCCGGAGCAGGTTTTTGGTACCGGCCTCCAGTCGTACCGAACCTGAGGTACGGTGGGACTGGGGGCCCGGGGGCCAGGGGCCAGGAGGGTCCAGTCATACTTTCTGAGGAGGTACGACTGGAGGTCCCATGGAGCAGTCGGTCCCATGAAGCTGGGCAGTCGGTCCCATGGAGCTGTTTGCATTTGCAGGGCTGCCCTTCGAAGGACCGCAGCCCTGGAAGCAGACGAGCGAGAAGAGACATGACCAACAGAGGTCAAGTGACCTTATAGGACCCTACAGAAGTACCTATAGGATAGTCTATAGGGTTCTTCAACCTCTGCTGGGAGGTTCATGTCAATCTTCACAGGTTCACACAAGTCAATCCCGCGCGAGAGAGAGAGAGAGAGGGAGTAGTGTCACAAGATCAAAAGATTGCTCAAACTTTAGAAGAGTTTTGGATTCTGTATGATCTCCATGTCAGCCCCATAAACACCATCAAAAGAATGGTTGATCTGATTTTGTAGCGCACAACCCTTAGTAAAACAATGGTTCTTTGGGATTCAGACCATTAAAACAATGGTTGTTGGAATCCCAGGGTCAGTATGGCTCAGCCATCCATGCTGTCGGGCGCTGTGGAAGAAGACGAACCTCCTGTTGATACGTTTCATCGGCTCAGCTGGAGTTGCGGGGTACTTCCTCGGAAGTCCCAGAACTGCAGGGCCAGTTGCAACCCACAGACTAGGCCCCTAAGGCTCCAACCTCAGAAGCTGACCGTACCCACCTCAAATCCACCTGACACCATGAGCCCTAGGGACTGAAGTACTTGGGACCGGAACCTGGCCCAGGTGCCGATCACCGCCGAACGCCTCGGGGTCACACCCCCGGGGGCGGCTCGCGGCGATGGGCCGGCGAGCCTCTACGTCCCTACTGGAGGTGAAGCATGTCACCAAGCTGGAAAAGGGGATGGGAATGGGAATGGAGGCTTCGGCCAGGAATGGATTTCTTTCGGAATGTCCCAAGTGGTGTATTTCGAAGCGCTGAGGCTACCCAGCACGGCTGGAATCCAGCAAATCTAGGTGCAATGTGGTTGTTGTTTGCAGGTTCTGGAGCAAATTTAAGGACCTGTCCATACTTTTCCTATCACATGTTATTTTTTTTCTGAAAGGGCGGCACTTGGTTTTCTGAACGCAGGTGACGACCGTGATCAGGGCACATTTGCGTTGCTTTTCCTTGCTTTTTCTGTTTTTCCTGATGGGGTTAGCCACAGTCACAGCGTATGGCGCCCGCGGCCGGTTGCTGCGATGGCGCGGGGTTTCGCGACGATCGTTGGATGGGGGTCGTGGCGGGCGACAGCCAACCAGCGGCGAATGGCTCGTGAAGCTCCTTCAAACCACCCTCCAAAGTACCAAAAACGGGACATGACCGGAACTGCAACAGCTCTACGAGGTACGAGGCCCGAATTCGAGGTGACGGGTGGACTGGAGGTCGGCACCCACAGTGACTGGCCGTCTGCGACCGAGGGCAACTTCTCCTCGATCAAGCAGCCCCGAGGTTCCGCGCCCGGTTCCAGGCCGAGGGGGTCGGTGTGGGGTCGGTGCGAAGGGGTCGAGAAGCTCGAGGATCCAGAGCGCTGAAGAAACCCAAGAATCACCCAATGTTAGGGCATATTTCTTGGCATTCCATGGATGGTATGATCAAGATGTGGTGCAACAATGTGCAACAGGGAGCTTTAAGCAGTTAGTGGGGAGAAAGGTTGTGGAGCAAGAAGGGTGCACTGCATGTTGGTGCTTCCTGTCTTTTGGAACTAGCTAGGACCCACTGCCTGCATTCGTACGCCAGGGCCGCCGCGGATCAGCTCGAAGATGTTGCGCTTCATGAAGCCACCCTAAGAATCCGGGCCCCTTCAGCAACACATCGGGTTTGGGAACCGGGCCCGTTTGACCCCTGCGTGAAACGGTGGAGAAGGTCCGACCCCCATGGAGGGCCGGAACTCGGATTCTTAGGGCAGGACTAAAGCATTCAAGTTGCCTGCTCAATACTGACCAAGAGAGGTTGAGAGACCATATAGGACCCTGTAGTGACACAGATGGGATGGGCGACAAAGGGCTGTTCAATCTGTCTTGGTACCTGGACTCACTACCAACCTTTTGCCAGTGCCACGCCTGAAAGTCCTCCGTTTCTTGTTTTGCATCCTCCGGACTCCTTGCCGTTCAGGGCTGCGAGTCGCTGGGCCAGCAATAGAAAACGGGGCTGGGAGTTGGGCGTCTTCGGTCCCTTGTTCAGGCCCACCAAAGGTGGGAAGGCCCACCAAATAGGCTAAATACGTGGGAAGACAATCCCTAGGGATCCGTTTTCGTACCAAACCTCAGGTACGGTGATGTGTGGAGACACTGTTATGTAGGTGCCAGGAGGGTCCAGTCGTACCGAACCTGACCAGGTACGACTGGATCCCTAGGGAATGAGGAGCCATAGCTTCCGAGAAGATCTGCCAGAAGCGAAACCGGCGAACTCGACAAAGGATCACCCTCGGCCGTGTTCCGTCACGTGGATGGAAGACACTATGCAAACAGTGCTTCGGTAGGAAAACACTGGGCCTGTTAGCCTGTTTCAGCCTTTTTCCCAACAAGCAACTACCTAACTACCAGAACCTTCCAACAGGTAGGTTTATGTGTTTTTTGACACCCTTTAAGCTATTTATAGACACCTCGACAGGAAGGTCTTGGTATGTAGGCATTTGGCTACCTCACAAGCTCGAACTACCGAGCTTCGCTCGTGGACCACTCCTAGTACCACTCCGAAAGTACTCGCCGTCTCGCCTCCTTGCAAAGAAAATCTGCTCAAGCAACCACTGCCAAGAGAGGTATCCAGTGACCTGAACGTTCGGACCCGGAACACCTGGGGTACCCAACTGGGATAGTCTAGTTCGGGTCATGAAAAACCTCCTCTGTTGGTGGGTGGAGCTAGCTTCCAACCCCTATAGGGATCCGTTTTCGTACCAAACCTCAGGTACGGTGATGTGTGTTCGACACTGGAGACTGTAGGTGCCCAGTCACGTCAGGTCGTTCGTCGTACCGAACCTGACAGTTCGCTATGAAAACGGATCCGGAACATGTCCAGTTTGCGACTTGATGCGACCTTCGGGTCTCAGCGTCACGTGGTGCCTGAAATGCAGACTGGCCGGAAGTGGCTGGTGACCTGTGAAGTCTCAGGTGCTAGCCGGACGCTGCAAACGGAACCAAGGGCATCGCTACGAACGGAGCGATCGCACGCTACGAACCGGGGCTCCTGGCCGTCACCGAGGGTCCACCACGGGCGCTGCGCGACGCGCGCCTCTCCGCCCCCCCCAGGCCCCGCCGCCTCCAGCGGCTCCGCCGGCCCCCGCGCATCGGGCAGTGGGGCATCGGGCGGCGCATCGCCACGGAGGCTCTCGGCAGCTTGGCCCGGTCAAGAGGGGATGGGTCCAAGCTGGACAGGTGGTCAATAGGAAGAAAGAAGGCTCAACTGCTGAAGATCCTCACAATCGAAGTGGCCTTGAACCCGACATTTCTCCAGGTGAAGTGTGATCGATCATATGTTTGACTGGTGACCAGTCAGGCTATGGATAGGAGAACAGGGCACGAGGATAGGAAGGTCAAGATGTGTAAAGATAACAACTT